AAAAAAAAAAAAAGTGGCAGAGCCACTCAAAATCAGGTATTCCTGTTAAGCCTGATGAGTTAGTTCTCTTTGTGCATTAGGCTGAAAATGGCAGATGGTTTTCAGTTAAATTTTTACTCAGTTTTACTGTAATTTCTATCCTATAAGCCTATTCCCAAAAGGTGCTGGAGGGACAGTAAAGATCAGTGTGATGATGACTTTATTTGATAGGTGGGGAAAACTGAGCCCCAGAGAAGTGAGTATTCTATTCATGACAAGAATCAGTTGAAGGCAGAGCTCAGGAAGGTCTGGGCGTTTGAACTTCCAGAATTACAAAGGTCTAAAATGTTTGCCTGTAACATCGCATAGCTTGAGAATCACATGTAAACGTTTTACAGTTTAAAAAGTTTCAATACAACGTGATATGATTATGACATATACTCAGACAGCTTAATCTTAGCTGAGATGTTGTTTGGTAATATCTTTCCTTGTTTCAGGCTCAATATATGCTCCTTTGTATATACTGTCCTGCTTAACTGTGTACATCAGTGAGCCTTAGGCACTACCCCAGCTTTCATCATCTCCGACTCCACAGGGAAGAGGTTGGGAGTGTCATTTTGCGGCAGCACAAGAGGGGTGTGCACCGGCCCATTGCTCCGCACAGGCTATTGGGGGGACCTGCTGCTGGCCATGAACTGGTACCCACTACTGAAGTTGATCTCTCTCTCCTTCTCTCTCCCTGCCTCCCTCCCTCTCTTTAATATGAGTAAAGCATTGTTCAACCCAGTGCTTGGACATCTTCTGATACTAGGCAACACATGCCACTTGACCACAAAAACTACTCACACAAAAAAACCCAGGACCAGATAGTTTCACTGGTGAATTCAACCAAATGTTTAAAGAAAAATATCAATCCTTCACAAAACTCTTCCAAAAAATAGAAGATGAAGGAACACTTTCTAACTCATTGATGCCAAAACCAAGCAATGACATTATAAGAAATGAAAATTGCACACCAATATCTTTTAACTATACAGATATAAAAATCCTCAACAATATACTATATTGAATATGAATCTAGCAACATATAAAAAGGATTATATATCATGACCAAGTAAAATTATCCCAGGAATGCAAGGTTGGTTCAACATGCAAAAGTCAATTAATATAATACACCATAATTATGGAATAGAGGACAAAAACACTTGTTCATTTCAATAGACACAGAAAAAGCATTTGGTAAAATCTAATACCCTTTCATGATAAAAATACTCAAAAAAGGTGGAACAGAAAGGGACTTCCACAGCCTGATAAAGGACATCTACCAAAAACCCCCATCATAGTGGTGAAAGAGAGAAAGTTTTTCCTCTAAGATAAGGAGCAAAAAAGGATGTCTGTTCTCACCACTTCTATTATTCAACATTGTACAAAAGGTTCTAGCCAGAGTAATTAAAAAAAAAAAAGCATCTAGATTGGAAAGGAAGAAGTAAAACTACCTCTACATACATGATCTTCTACACAGAAAACCCTAAGGAATCTTCAAAAAGCTGTTAAAGTTAAAAATAAGTTTAGCAAGGTAGGAGGATACAAGATCAATATACAAAAATCATTTGTATTTCTATACACTAACAATGAACCATCCAAAAATAAAATTAAAAGAGTTAAATTTATAATAGCATCAAAAAGAAAATATTTAGAAATAAATTTAACAAAAGAATTGTAAAACTTGAACACTCAATTTCAAAATTTACCACAAAGTTACAATAATCTAGAGCAGCAATTTTCAACTGGTGTGACACAGAATTTTTAAAACATGCAATATCTGACTGTTTGGTCAGGGGCACTGACCCCTTTCCCTTAGACTGCCAAATAAAAAAATGACAACCACCTCTTTTCCCTGAGATTGTAAAATTAAAAAATGACAACAATAGCCGTCCAGTGTGAATGAATCAAAATTATACCTATATTTTTGGGGTCAGATCAGCAAAAAACATAATATGGCCAAAAAGTAGAAACATTCAAATGCCCATCAACAAATGAATGAGTAAACAAAATTTCAGTCATAAAAAGGAATGAAGTGCAGTCATGCATTGCTTAATGACCGAGTACATTCTGAGAAATGCATGGTTAGGCAATTTCACCCTTGTGCGAACATCACAGAGGGCACTTACACAAACCTAGATAGTACAGCCCACTACACACCTAGGCTATATGGAATAGTCTATTATTCCGAGGCTACGAACCTGTACAGCATGTTACTGTGCTGAATACTATAGGCAACTGTAACACAATGAAAAGTATTTGTGTATCTAAACATAGAAAAGGTACAGTAAAAGTAAGGTATAAAAGACAAAATATGGCACACCTGTACAGGGCACTTATGATAAATGGACTTTGCAGAACTGGGAGTTGCTCTGGGTGAGTCAGTGAGTGAGCGGCGAGTGAATGGGAAGGCCCAGGGCGTTACTGTGCACTGCTGTGGACATTATACACAAGACCTCCTCCACTTCCTTCCGATAGGGCCAAAAATAGAACATCAAAGCTGTCAATGCTGCTCCATGCAGAGGTGTGGGCTAGACTGATGGGAAATACTGAGGAGAAACTGACCGGGGAAGGCGTAGATCGCCACAATAGTGATCTGCAGGGAGGAAGTGAAAGTGATCCTTCCTGAGGAAGAGTAGGCATAAGAAATCAAGCTAGAGAGATAAAGGAATGCAGGGGCTTGTTATGGCAATGTGATTTCGGCACTGCATGTTGGAGCAGTAATCAGAATTAAAGAACTTATACTCATTGAAATAGATAGTGTTTAACATGGAGAGGGTGTATAAGTGAGGATTCAATATTTTTGACTTTGGAAATTTGTTTTTGGTTCCATTGATACTATCTGGCACAAAGTGACCTCTCTAGCAAACGATGGAAGAAATAAAACTTATCTATGTTTTGTATCATTACAAAGATATTTCCAAAGTACAGCAGCAGTCTGGCTCTACACCACCACAAAAAACTTTTAATAAACTGGCAGTGGAACTGAATACTTGTCAAGGTAGCACCTGTGGACCTGTGTCCTTGTACAGGATCTTAGGTCTTCAACTAAGAATTTACAGCAAATTATTCTGAGGACCATCAAGCTTGATCTGGGAGGGCTGTAAGCACCCTCTGAATATGTAGGGCTGGGGGACAGGCTCCTTTGTGGTGAAACAGGTCTGTCGCTGACTGATTGGGATGTAATCTGTGCACTCAAAACTGAGGTGCTGTGAGTGAGAGGGAATCTACTGCCAAACCCCACAGATATTGCTCCTGCCAGAGGAAAATGTAAATCCTTCTGAACTACATACTTTTCCATTTCTTACAGGAAATTCAGCCCCATTATAATCTTATGGGACCACTGTCATTTTTGTGGTCCAATACTGACTAAAATGTTGTTATGTGGCACATGACCATACTACCACATGATACAACATGAATGAACCTTGAGAACATTATGCTAAGTCAGCAGTTTTCAACCCTTTTTATCTTATGGCACACATAAACTACTAAAATTCTGTGGCAAACCAAAAAATGTATTTTTTGCCTACCTGACAAAAAATAGGTATAATTTTGATTAATAGTAATTACCTACCTTTTTTGCTCCAAAGTGACTTTTAAAAAACTCAGGTGCCTATTCTTGTATATAAGAATTTCTGGTACCAAGAATTAACCAATCAGAAGCAACCTTATTATGTGACGTGACCAGTAAGATGCAACTCTATTATATGACCTATATATTTATGGTTCAAGATACGGTATTCATACCAGACTGCTATTGTTGTGTTGGCTGTTGTCATTTTTCATTTGACAATCTAAGGGAAAAGAGGTCAGTGCCCCTGACTAAATAATTCAGGTATTTAATGTTTTAAAAATTCTTGTGGCACACCAGTTGAAAATTGCTGTGCTAAGTGAAAGAAGCCAGACACAAAGGCCATATGTTATATAAATCCATTTGTGTGAAATGTCTAAAATAAGAAAATCCAGAGAGACAAGAAAAATAGATTAGTGGTTGCCAAGGACTACAGAAAAGAGGGAATAGGAAATGACTGCTAATTGGTAAGGAGTATGTTTCTGAGTATGATAAAAATGTTTTGGAATTAATGGTAATAATTGTTGTGTGGCCTTGTTAATATACTAAAAACCATGAAATTTGTACACATTAAAATTGTGAATTTTACGATATTTGAATATACCTTCAGAATAAAATTTTTTTAAATGTAATTGAAAAATTGAGGACTTCCAAAAAGAATGATGAAAAGTCATAAACTAATAACATGTACTGGCTCTATAAATCCCCTTTTTCTTTCCCCAGTCTCCTTGAATGGTAATTGTCATACTACTCATTATGGCTGTAAGAGTTATAATTCCTAGCATCTACTATAACTAATTTAGAACACATTATACACCTTATTATAGTATCAAGGTATCAATGTTGGCTCATTAAAAAGTCTTGCAGGGCATGAACTAATTGCTTCAGTAATGTACTGAGAATTCCCAAAATGAACTAAGTATATTTTTAAATGTTGACTTTGAATGGGCGAGACACTGCAAAAGGGAATATGCAAAATTTAAAGACTTCCTTGATTTAAAATGGGTAAACCATAACAATGATGACTTAGTTTCTCTGATAGGGTAGCAAGAAATCAGCATTTTGCCTTAATATTCACGTCAGGAAAGAGTCACCAAACTGGAAGTGAATGAAAAAATAAAGGATAGAAAGGGCTGGAGTCCAAAGAAAGCTGAGCACATCTTGGCTCAACAGCTGTGTTAAAAAACAATTTCTTATATTTCAATTAACCACTTTCTTTCTAAAAGATATAGGGCATTGGGTTAATAGGTTTCTTTAAAAGCAAAATCTGTTTTGGCCATTGAAACACTGAAAGAACAGAACATCTGTTTTGCAAGTGAAGACAGATTGTATTGGAGAATCAAATATCAAACCACTGGTTAGACTAGCATTTCATTTGTTCTATTTAAATTTTCAATAGAAGTAAATAAAATGACATTCTTGAAATTATATGTAAGCTGTAAATATTTAACACCAGAAACCCTGAACACTAAGATGCTTTAGAGTATAAAGGTAATTATTAGTATATTTTAATTATTTTTCATTCTACTTGACATTTATATCAAAACCAGGTTATAAAGCACTCCCCCACAAAAATCACTTTTAAAATATTATAAAAGAGAAAACTCACCATCCATGAATTCTGTACATATAGAAATCCTGTTTTCTACAAAAAATGCACCATAAAATCCTATGATATACGATGAATCACACTGTAACAAAAATAAGACAAAAGTAGTTAAAAGCCTGTAAGCCAATACCACAGGCATGCTTTATAAGGAAAAAATGACCAAGAAAAAATTACCTTATAAAGAATTTCCAATTCAGACATAATTTGCTTTTGAAGTTCCAGTGTAATATCTAGTAGTATGACCTAAAGATGGGAAGGAATACATTGACACATTTATTCACCTTTAAATTAAATATAGTTATACTCACTACGAAACATAAAAAACTAAACTCTATTCATTTCCCCCTTCTCCTCCCCACAATTATAACACCCAGTAATACAAACTGTATTCACATCTGTCTAACCCTTTGTATTGGGGGAGGCGGTATAGAAGTGATTGATGGGACCAAGGAAAAAGCCAGGTCTCAAAGGTCAGTATTAATGGCTTTAAAAGTCAGTTAAGTTATAACATCCTTAATTTATACACCCTATTTTGGCCACATTGGTTATTTTCAGAAGAGAAAGATAGGAGTGACCCTAAAACCATTAAAAAAAATTGCCTTGTAATTCAGACACTAGTAATAAACAGAAGAGGTTGATGAGTAAAAATGACATTTTAAAAGTAGGGTTTTCAGTTAGAGGAGAAATAAGGAGTTTTAAAAATATATCATCTTTTTTTATTCTTCCAGTTACATAAAGTTTCTTTGCTAATAATGTTATAAAATGCTGGGGCTTGAAGGAACCTCAGAAATTATTTCATCTAATCTCCTCCCTGTAGAGGAGGAGGCCAAGGTTCTGAGGAGCCACGCGGCCTGGCAATGTCAGGGCTCCGTCCTGACTCAGAGGATTTTCCAGTATGTACTGACGCTTTATGGTTTCCCTTAAAATGTGGACCACTGAGTCAAATTCATAATGCAGACGTGTAAAATACTTTATTTATAAACTTACCTAGAATAAATTCTAGTTTATTTCAAACACTGATTTTTAAAGAAAGAACCATCAACTGTTCAAATTTTACTTAGCAATTCAGTAAAGCCAACTCACGGGAAATTGCTTTTGTTTTTTTAACTTAAAAAAGACAGTGATGAGAATGAAATAGTTGGAAGACAATTTTAAGATCTGTGGCCGAGTTTCTGGCTCTAGACATTTCTCGATAAAAACTGAACATCAAAATTACTATGATAGTGTAGTTATACACCATCCAACACTAAACTACATTTTGTATTACAACTGCGGAATGTATAAAATCATACTGGAGGAAAACATCCATAAATTATGAAAGGCAAACTGCTGATAGAGCAAGGAAAGAAAAGGATAATTCTAAAATGCATTTTATAGTAATGCCATCCATTTGGGGGAGGGGAAAGAGAAAAAAAAGGCATAGCCAGTTTCTATCAAGAGTTTGCTTTAGGGTTATTTATAAAAGCTCTCACTAAACTAGACTGTAAGTGTAATACAAAACTGCCAAGAAACATTTCTCCAGATCAATAGTCATTTTGCCAACAATATTCACTTACTTTTTTGTTCCTGTATAAAACTCATCAACAAAATAAACTCATCTAATGTTGTTTCAAGTCTGTGCCATAAACTATTAGAGCTATTCACACCACCACGTCAAGTACAGGGAATCTTTCATCCTCAAAAACTCTGCTAAACGGGATGAAGTTATTATTTACCTTAAAGCAGTGGTTTGCAACCCTGGCTTCATATTATAATTACCTCATAAATATATAAGAACACTTTAAATAAATCCTGACGCACAGGCATAATGGAATGAGAATCTCTAAGGCTGGACCCACCTCTTAGTATTTAAAAACACACACAAAAACACAAAAAAAAACCAAAAAAAACCTTCTCAGGTGAATTCTAACCCATAGTAAGGTTGAGAACCACGTATTTATGTTTCAAAATACATGTACTCAGTACTTACTATGACTACTAAGCTATACTGCATCTCCGGGCACATAATCTATAAATGACATGATCCCACATGGCTAGCCAACGCATTGGAATGAACCCTAAACTACAGGCTGTAAACATATCGTTCCCCTGTTCAAAAACCTTAATTGGGCTCCCATGGCCTAGCATAAAGTTAAAATTCTAGCATGACATTCAAGGATTTCTACAATCTAGCTACAACTTGTTACTCTAGATCCTCCCACTACTCCCCTCCACAAACTCAATCCCCATTGAAACCAGATTTTTACTAATCCCCACGTCCTGTGCTTTCCCCACTTCTACTCTTTTCTCCTGCTGTTCCTTCCACTTGAGGTATGCTCCCTCTCTCCACTCCACAGTCATTGACCATAAAACCTTTTTTATCTTTTAGACTCAACTTGAATGCTGCCACCACCACCTCCAGGAAGCCAGCCCCAAAGCCCTCCATCAGAACTGATCTCTAGCTTTGGCCCTTTATTTTTCTCCTTATCACATTTGTCTTCAGCATTCATGCCTCATCTTCTAAAGACAGAAGCCTAAAGAGTAAAGAATGGTTGTGAGCCCCTCAAGGGCAAGGGGTAAGTCTTGTCCATCTTTCTCTAGCTCCCTCCCCACACCCAGCACCCTGCATAGGGTCATACAGTAATGCCCATTAAGTGATGTGGGATTTAATTGAAGAGCTCCTTATAACCATGATCCTCTAAATAAGACACTGTTTCTAGATAGGAAGGAAATGGATTGTTTGATTTCAACAGCTGAATTTAAAACCAAAGATATAAACACCAAAGTAAAAGTGCCACACTGACCTAAAATGTAATACTGTAGTTGTGGAGCCAATCCATTGCACTCTAATAGGTCTTGGTCATGCTTGGTATTTGCTATAACCCAGAACAGTGGAGATTCCATAATGGTAGAAAAGTGAATAAAGTGATTTCTGGGAACTTGAGAGGGAAAGTAAAATCTACCTTCAGATAACTACTGAAATGCTCTTCCATTTTCTGGGAGATTTGGCACTCTAGGTGGAAGGTTAATTCTCTTTCCCTTGGGCATTCCTGTGAGTGAGCTTTAAAAGTGCTAAAAATAAACAAGTCCAATTCCTTATTTGAAGGTAATGGGGAGAAGCATGGAAACACTAATTTTCTCTTTGAAGTAGAAGGAAAGTATGGACTCCCTGAGTTGTCATTATTATTATTACTATTTTTATCCGTGGGAAGAGCTCAATTTTTCAAACTGGAGAGACTCTGAACATGAAGCGTCTCATGGAGAAAGGGTTAAGCGAGGAGCTGAAATACCTGAGTGCGTTTCCGCTGCTCTCCGCTACACCTCCAGGACAAATAAGGATGAGTTGTCAAGTTAAATATAAGCAGTCAAGTGACTGAATTATAATTTACTCTGTGCTCAATTTAAATTAGTGTGAGGCTATTAAAATATACAGTATAAATACGGCAATTCATCACAACCTGTCATGGATGACTTCATTTATTTGCTGGAGTGGCACACGCTCCACTAAAGGGAAGGAGAGCAAAATCACAGGTCAAATTAAGCCGCTATTCTGTTTTAATTCGCTTATTTAATCTGTGGCAACATAATTGTCTTTTACAGTATGTACAATTCAGAAAGGAAATTTGGGAGGATTACAGTCAGTATACAAATGATTAATCAAATGGTCCATTTAAATGCTAGTTTAAAAGCAGCAGAAACTCAAAACAGTCAAAGAATGTTAATCAGCACATGCTACATACAATGGTAAGAAATGTCCTGTTAGATGGATTTTTTTCCAATTAGAAAATAGATAATACTTGGAAATCTATTAAGCTCCACTCTTTGAAAGGTTTTATAGACACATGAAGAGTATAAAAAGGTTCTATCTGCAAGCTGGCTCACAGTATTTTTGTTTCCTGCTCTACTTGATGGCAATTGTTTTGCCTACCTACACCACTCCCTGCCAAGGAAAGCTAGTCAGAAACACATTTTTTCATGAGTTACACACATACAGGCATATCAAACACTTATCTTTAAAACAGGATTAGTATTATTTTCAAGATGCTCTCTGAGGCAGATGGTTTTCTGAATTCCGTTGTATAAAATAAAAATTCAATGTACTTCTATTCTCCCTAAATTCAACCTTTTAAAAAATATCTGAAGTGATAGTTTCCCACCTTCAAAGCCTGAAAAGGGAAACATTACAATATAGGGTGTTTTTTTTTGTCTAAAAAATTAAAATATTTAGAAGTATAAAAATTAAAAATATTTTGAGTAGGAACAGTAACAGATTCTCACGGACTCTCATCTAATTGCTCCCACAGATATTCAAAGTGTGGGTCCAACTGGCACTTGGTTTGAGAAATTGAATTCCCCTCATCACTCTATGCCAGCATCAGAGCCCTGCAGGTGATTCTGTGTAGACAAGGACTGTGATTTGCGGCTCCTCACAATCCCTCTGTGACACCAGGCAGCCCCGTTTCACAGCTGAGGTCACTGAGAGGTTCAAGTGACATGCTTGAAGTCACACAAAAGTCAGGAGAGGGTCAGGAAAAGATCAAATGCGCGTCTAACTCTTAACCTTTCATTTCACCCTTTAATATAAAAAAAGCTAAGAGATACTCTGGTTGGGAGCAATGGTCCGTACAAAGAACACTATGGGATATTTTGTAGGTGAGTTGAACCTGCTTTCAAGATGTCAATTCAAACGAAGAATAAGTAAACGGAAAAGAAAAAAACCAAAAAACCCCCAAAGAACAAAATTTATTTATTCATTCGCTCATTCAACAAATTACGTGTTGAACATCTAGTCACTACATACAGCGCTCTGCGCTAGGCCCTCCATGCAATGTTCTGCATGAATCAGTGAGTAAAACAAGGTAAGATCTGTTCTCCACATCCAAGGAGATTCCAATATGACAGGGGAAACATACAGGTACAGTAAGAGCAGACTCCAAGGCAGCCTGTGATAACACCCATAAGAAACACAGAGAATTCTAGAGTCAAAGAAGAGAGGGAGTAAGGGATAGATACACTAGATGTCACAGTTTATCTATAGTTCAACAGAGAGGCTTTGGAGCCAACCCTTGAAGGGTGTTAAGGATTTTGATAGGTGGACACAGAGGTGAAGGCATTCTTATTAGAGAGAATGCATGAATCAAAGTGCTGAAGTGAAAAGTACCTGGGTTCAGATAAGGCAATGAGTTCAACTTAACTTGCTGACTGGCTATTTCAAGCCAGAACTTGCCCATACAGCCGGCTACTTTTCTGCATTTGAATACTTG